GCTACCCACAAACTTTGGTGGCAGAGACCAACGTGGTTGCGTCTTCCGGCATCTGAATGGCCCGCACTGGTTGACTCTTCGTCCGAAGCGCCTCTCGAACAGCGACTTTGCGCCGCCGCTCATGTAGTAAATCCACCGGAGCCGTGAGATCTATCGAAACGCTACTCCTCATGGCCTAAACTCATACGCGTTACCGCGTACATCATGCGCTTCGCTCATCGGCTTCGTCACCGGGCAACGCATCAGGTAACGATCAATGAAGCTCCATCCGCCCTTTCGGCGAGCGAATGCCGAACCGCGCGAGATTTCTGGCTTCAGCGCGCTCAGGAGGAATTATTTCCAGTAGATCGAAAGGCGCTACAAAATCAAAAGGCCCTGTCCTCAAAGAGCCGACTCCTCTCTCTTAATCCTTTTCTGGGCAGAGATAAATTAATTCGCGTTGGCGGGCGGTTGTCCAACGCTCTCATTGCCCTTCCACGCAAACATCCCGTCATTCTCGCGTCGCATCCACTGGTGACGCTCCTAGCTCATCACGCTCATCTGCGATCCCTTCACGCCGGCACTCAACTCACGCTCGCAACATTGCGTCGCGAATTCTGGATAATCCGAGCTCGAAGCGTGGTAAAAGCGGTGATAAATCAGTGCATAGTCTGCACTCGAGAAAAGGCGGCGACGCAAACGCAGCTGATGGGCGACTTGCCGACGGTGCGAGTCGCGCCTCCCGCACGCGCGTTCTTGCATTGCGGTGTTGATTACGCCGGTCCGGTCTCAATTCGAGCGATGTCCGGCCGCGGCGTTAAATCACACAAGGCGTACATCGCCGTTTTCATATGTATGGCGACTCGCGCTATCCACCTAGAAGTCGTCGAGGGCTATGCCACCTCGGCATTTCTAGGAGCTTACTCTCGATTTTGCGCACGACGAGGACTTCCAGAGTCCATGTACTCCGACAACGGAACTACTTTCGTGGGGGCCGAGCGCGAGTTATCTATAGCCTTCCGAGCGGCTCTTCGCGAGCCTGAATTTCTAAATCGCACGGCCACGGATAATGTAACATGGCGTTTTATTCCTCCATCGGCTCCACATTTCGGCGGGCTCTGGGAGGCAGGTGTCCGAAGCGTAAAACACCACCTCCGTAGGATAGTTGGGTCTCACACTCTGACCTTCGAAGAATTCACTACCGTGCTCTGTAACATCGAAGCATGTCTAAATTCTCGGCCTCTCGCCCCGCTTACTGATACCGTCGACGATTACGAGCCGCTCACGCCAGGCCACTTTTTAATAGGATCTGCCTTGACTACGCCTCCGGAACAATCAGTACTGGAAATCAACGAGAATCGTCTGTCCCGATGGCAACTAGTGCGACAGCTGACGGAGCGATTTTGGAAAATTTGGCAAAATGACTATGTAAACACGCTTCAACAACGGGTGAAGTGGCGAAAAGTAGCCAAAGATTCTGTTCGAGTCGGCAAATTAGTACTGCTAAAAAACTCATTGCTCCCGCCGTGCAAATGGGAACTAGGGCGCATTCTAGAGTGCCATGCGGGCCCTGACAACCTCACGCGTGTTGTCACAGTCAAAACCATCTCCGGCGAGTACAAACGACCGCTAGTAAAAATATGTCTCCTACCGATCGACATGGAGTCGACAAATTAGAACGCGCTAGTTCTTGAGATAACAGCTGATCGCCTCCATCAAATGATCATTCTATCTGTAAAATAACTTTTATAAAATTTTTGTTTGCTGCGATGTATAATTACCGTCATTCTTTCGAAACGATCATTTCAAGGCGGGCGGTATGTTAACGATCGAGCTTCGCGCTGCGTGCGTTATGTCGTTTTTATAATTTCTTTTTCGTCTATATATTTCTATAATTTGTCTTTATAATTCGTTATCGTATACGTTGTAACAAATTCACATTAACGGGCAGAATATGACCATGTTTAGCGTTCGCCGCGGAAAAACATGCCTCGGTAAACAATCTCGAGTGAGCCGCTGCTATTGTTTTTATTTTTACTTCTAACAGCGAAGGCCACGAGAGAAGCGTTGAAAAGACGAAAATTTCAAAATCATCAGAGATAGCGTTCCCCTCTCTAGCGCTTGAGTTTAGATCTGCGCGAATCATCATCGATCATCTGGCCCTCTCTCCGATGTGAAAAAGGCGGTCGCAAGCCGATCAACCGGACAGGCGTTTCACTCGGTCATTTTTGAAAAACCAGAAGCTTTCTTCAATTCCGAGTGAGAAGACGCTTCAAGTCGCTGAGTGCTAGTAATTAGTTTTCTCATTTTTT